TGTTCTCCGGACTGAGGCTCTCGAATGACTGTAACAGCTCCAGAGCCAAGAGCCCAAACTTACCCATGCACCAGATGTAGCAGAAGTGATAGAAATGACGGCTTTGAACCCCCCTTCGTCCTGTCGACGATATACCCGGAAAACAAGAATAGGAAATCCTGCAAGGATTAGTAGCATACCAACGATTAGACGCGCCGCGGGATAACTTATCCTCCACATCATTTCAGAATAGGTCAGCGATCCACCATTTTGTTTTTAAATTGTGAGGGGCTGGCACTAGAGCACTTCACTGAACCCTGAAATAATTGTGAAGAAAATAATGTTTACATAGACAACAGCACCGAACCGGTGCGGAGATAATGTGTTCCCGGATTGCCTATTCCGAGAGGAGAGTAGTGTACTGAAAACAAAGCTCAGCGGTAGCTTTTAGCCTCGAAGAACTGAGTTAGTTCAGGCAGGTACTCAGGTAAAATTACCTGAGCAAATCGTAGAGCTAAAGGGAGGCTACTGTGTCTTTTTACCTTTTAATACCGTTTGATGTGCGAGGAACAAAACGATTAAAGTCAGCTTGGTGCCAGAAACTTGTGAGGCTCGTTTTCACGGACTACTTGTTGCCTCGTCATGTTTACGCATATGCCCGTCAAAAAAGGCTGTGGCATCTGTTGGAAGCTTGTTTGGCCTTCCGAATCGAGGGCGGTTTTCAGTGGATCCATATTTTCTGTTTTTGTCTTTTTTGTGTTTTTCTTTTCAAGATTCTAGTGACACTTGCTAGGCTTCCTTGTAGACTTTCGCGTCTGAAGACTTTTAACTTTTGTACCTACGGGAAAAAATCCTTCCTTAGGATGACAAGCAATTCTTTTTCTCACATATGTTGGAGCCCTTGGCAAGATTATGCTAAAAATTGATTGTTAACGTTAATGTCCTGAGAGTACATTGTATGCAAATAGAGGTTGGCTACCATGGAAATAAATAACACAACGCAACGCCCTTAATGGGTAAGGTTTGCACCCTTCCTGCTTACCGTTTTCACAAGCTGTCTTTTTCTCGCTCTCGCTATTTTTGTTTGTTCGAAAGCATTGGCATAAATATAGTCTTTCATATATACTTTTTTCCTTTGTGTAGTAACGAACTTGCTTAACTGATGTGCAGGGAGCGCGAGCCTCGACTAGAGCCGACTCGATAAGTAGCGAAAGCGGCTTAGATTCATCATCCTCCCGTTTTCATGCCGATGAAACAGACTTCGAATAAAATGATACTATGTTCTCTATACTACACACTCAGACAGTATCATTCTGACGGAAAATTCACGACACCGTGGAATGTTGTCCCACCGACCCAATGCTTAGCGGTGGCGATATCTTGCCAACACAAACGATATATCCCTAAAGGTATTGATGTAAACGAGACATAGTTAGGCGGCAATGATATCTCGTTGGATGTAAAACGATATATTAGGAAGGCTAAACCGATATACTGTTGAACTGCGGCGATATATCGCGCAGCTCACAAGGCTTTCCTAATTTGAGCACTCTGGCATGGCTTAGACGATACCACAAATGTGGGATCGTTCGAGGTAACCATATCGGTTCTCCCCCAGCCTAGCATCAGCACTGCACTGATGAGGCCCAGAAGGCCGAAACAGTACTGTGGGCATTTGGAATGGAAAGACAGAACTTGTTAAACGCGAGGTTTGTCGGTTACCATGGCAGCAAGGAGGTTTGTCCGTTGTACACACCTGGAAAAATCGCGAGCCCTTAAACTCCGGTGGATTCCCCCGGTGGGTGACGCGACTCACGCGGCCAAATGGGTCCTTTTTGCGCGATATTGACTCGGCTTTCCACTGAGCCGCAGAATTAAAAGTTGGGCGTTTCTCCGCTCCAATGACGTTCCCAAGTAACTAGGGGATGAACAACTCCCCATTTACCGCGCTGCCCTGACAACAGTCGACCGGGTGGGGTTGAATTTCGATTCCCTCCCCGACCTCACGGTGAGAACCTTTTACTCAAGGCTAACACCCCTCCTCCCCAGCGGCTCCCTTGCGTCGAACAGTGGGAGTGACGGTTTGGCTGTAAACTCACTTGGCAAAATATCTGGCAGGACATCTTCGGTGCTGGTCTGAGCACCAATTGGGAAAGCGAAATAGCGTGGTGGATCGCTCACGGTGTGGTCAAAACAAGGGCCTATCTAAAGTCATGGCGCCAGTTTGCCGTGATCGATCAATGCGTGGGCTGTGGCGAGCGGGAAACGATCTCTCATGCTTTCTGCTCGTGCCGCCTCGTGTCTCCTGTGTGGAGCTGGATGTCAAATATGATAAATCAGTATTATCACCACCCTTTTTTACTTTCCGAATCTATTATTTTATTACGCGAAGGGCTGCCCCAAGGCTCCTCTTGGGAGCATTCAAATGCCATCACCTCCGTTCTAATAAAACTCGCCCTAAATAAGCTGTGGGCCGCCCGGAATCTCGACACTTCCGAATCTAAACGGCCATCCGCTCAAACCATTATCTCTAAAAGTAAGAACCGCATTCGCCAACGCATAACAGCCGCCTTTCACAATGCACCTCGCGCCATCTTAACCACATTCTGGGCTTACTGTAATGTCCTGTGCTCCTTTGCGAATCAGCAACTTATAATAAAGATTTAAATTCCCCCCAACAAGCCCCTTCGTCGGGTCTCCTTAATTGGTGCACTGTGTAGAGGCTCCCTCCCACCTGTAAATAGCGTAAAGAATATGAAACCTTTCCCGAACAACTAGCACTTACGCCTTTAATGTAATCCAACTCGTCCACCAGCTACGAACAATGAACCCCTAGTAATACATTAGTTCCCCATGCGCCGCATTGCACAGCGGTATTCACCTTCAAATGTTCCGTTATTTACGATCAAATGTAATTTACCCTGATTTCTTGTGATCTCAATCACCATATCTAATTTATCCAATTATTATAATCAATCATTGTAAGCAATCAACTACCTCTGTAAATAAAACATTGATTTAAAAAAAAAAAAAAAGTACTGTGGACCTCATCAGTGCAGAGGTGATCCTGGGATGGGGGAGAGCCAAGAGGGTCACCCCAAACGACCCAACATTTATGGTATCGTCTAAGCCATGCCAGAGTGCTCAAACTAGAATAAAATACCGCGCATGCGCAATTGCAACAGCGATGACTCATCCTAGGTAGAGTGCTCAATTTCGACATGAAAGCAAAGCTTTGTATGCCAAAGAGCTCTCTATATATATATATATATATAGTCGTTAAAGGAACTCTCATGCCAACAAGGGTGCACCGCGCCAGGATGATCAATAAATATTCGCAGTCCAAACCTCACAGCCAACACGAACGTAGAAAGTTTAAAAAAATGCGAGGATGGACAACTTCTGACGTCAAAGATATAAATAATTTTAATAAAAAACGTTTCGGTCAGAGAGACCTTCTTCAGTTATTTACAGCGTTTGAAATAAAAATAGAGCATTAAATAGGATCGAATTGCTAATGATTACGTAATTAAAGATAACGACTAATGAACTGGTGCTAATAAAAAGATAAAAAAAAACAATCTAATTACAAAGAAAGCAATGAACGAAATACAAGAAACAAACCCTAAAAACTAAGAGATAAGAATACTAAATATGTTAAAATGAGTGGCGTAACCAGTTGCAACGAAGAAATGAGGCAAGCATTAAAAGAGAGGAGGCCCACTTTTAACTACAACTGTAAACCGTAACAAAATCCCAAAAGAAGGCCTTTGGAGCCCGAAAGGGCAAATTAGCAACAAAATCCCTGGAGGGGCCCTTGAATGATACTAATCATAATAAGATCCCTTGACAGGGCCTCTGAGTCTAATCCACACCTAAAGGGCTGACAAAGTCCAGGAAAAGGGCCTTTGAACGATCAACTAGTAGCGCCGAGTATAAGATGGAAAATTAATTATACCAAATTATATTTTCGAATGAAATTTCTTTCTTTTATTCAAATCATGGGGTGCAATAAGCCTCTTTTGTGATTAAAAGCCTATTGATCTCTACACAACCACTAGGCGCTTGTAACTGATCAATGCATTGAAACGAAAAATCGTCCAGGGTGTGTGGGGTTTTGTTAAAGGGTAACGCTACTTCACAAGTTGTTTTGTTTGGGAGCATAGCAGATTTTTGAGTTGTCCATCCTCGCAATTTTTAAACTTTCTGCATTCTTGTTTGCTGTGAGGTTTGGACTGTGAATCTTTATTGACCCTCCTGGCGCGGTGCACCTTTGTTGGCCTGAGTGTTGCACTAACGACTTCCTATAGATATGGGGGATAAACCAGAAATGTCAGGAAAACTCTATATAATCACAGGTGGGAGTAGTAAGGCCTGCAGTCTATAATTTTAAACTTCTGAACTGAATGGTTCCTCCTGCTTTTGGCTTCGCCCATGCCTCTCAGGATAAATTTTAAAACTCTTATATTATCATATTTTTAATTTTTTTTTTTTAGTTTCTTTGTTTCTCTATTTTTTATGTCTTCATTTATCTTGCATTATTTAGCAGATTAGATGAAATCTTTCCATTCTAAACTTATCTTTAGTCTCAGTCTCGAGGGTCTTTGAATAAATGTCGATATCAACGTTTATCTTTGAGTTTGTCTTCTTCCTTCATCACTTTAGCAAAGTAATGCCTTCCTTCGAAATGTCTTTTGAAGATCAAATTGTTTATAAACTTCAAATCAGTGTTAGGGGATAATTCAACCGACATAAAAACACTATAGTCATAAACACTCAGCTACTTTATCAATCATTCATCATTAGTTATTAATTACTTTATTATTTATGAGCGACTCTAATAGACAATACTATAACTATCCTTAATAACTTACGTAAGCCCTCTACAAACTATAACATCACAGATGAGAACCTCGCCACGATTAATAACTGAGTGTGCGCACGCTTTCAAATCTGGCGTGTTGAAAAAAAAATAACAATAATAATAATAACTTGGAGCATCCTGGAATTTATAGTTTACGTCAAGCTAAAAGCTTCTACTTTGTGTAGATGATTCAATTCGTCGCTGAGTAAATTAAGCATCGTAAGGATGCATGGTGCGATACCAATAAATGTATGATAGCTATTAGAAATCTGGTCCAAAGTATAATAATTCACGTGCAGAATTGTTTTCTGTGGATTAATCAGATGGTACAGTTTACACTTGCATCCTCCCAATGCCCGCAGTTGTGGACTCCCCAGCTGTTGCTACTACAATGAGATAGCGCTGCCTCTCCACCTTGACAGTGGACGTCATCCATCCAGATCCGACCAGACCCCTCACCATATGCAGCGCAACAACGAGCCTGGGCTGCACCTGAAAAGCCGAGCTGACGACATACCACCTTAGCATCATCGATGTCCCAGTAATCATCACACACTGTGCCCCAGTGCCCGTTGTGATAAACTTCTACGCGGCCGTGGCTTGCTCCACCACCCATTAAACGGATGTCTGTAGCAGAATAAAAGATCTCACTGATAATATGTGATCTTGCAAACTGTTACACAAACTGTACTCCATTAACCATCGCGGAGGATTTTGACTTTCCTGTCATGACTAGATTCTTAATTGGATGAATTTTATTTCCAAAAAAATATTCGTTTAGGTGGAATGGCAATGATGCAAACCAATAACGACAAATAACGAACTCTTAATTAACACCTCAATGGAACACATTTAACTTTGTTTATTTCTATTAGAGAAATATAAATCTACTTCGCGTCCAATAAGGTAAAATGGAATTCCAACTGCAACTGATATACAAATGATAAATTCTAACACTTAATCATGCTCGTGTTAAACTTTCGTCCGATGATCGTCTGAAAGATCTAAAGTTTTAAAAAAAGGAAGAAATTTTATTTCTTCTTTTCATCCGTAACTTTCTAGTAATATATGGCACGGTGTAAGGCGTTTTTTGCTTTTTAAATTATTAACTGAGTTGGTCTAGGTTTATTTGTTTGTTCACAAGATTTTACAAGCTTAAGATAATCTACGAAAACTTTATTTTTGTGGAAAAATCTGATTAGTTGCAATAATTTAAAGTTTGACATGAGATAACATAGCATACGTTAGCAAAGGACAGCAAATCATTTTCGCCTCTTCAAAAAACAGATCACAGGGTACCCCCTCCACCACCCCCGGGTCAGTTAATTTACTATCCGCAGTCGTCAAAATCATTTAGCCACATCTCTGAAAGCTTAAAATAGATCATAATGTCGAATCAGATAGATTTAGACATAAATTGAATATATCAACAAAGTTGTTATGGTAAATTGGCCACAGTTACGATTATAAAAGCTGACGTTTCGAGCGCTAGCCCTTCGTCTTTGCGAATAGAGGAATTGTGGGTTGTGTGTGCTTTTAAAGGCAGACAGAGGAGCTACCTAATTGGTGGGAAAATGGCAACGAGAAAAACACGAATAAATTAGTGGAATGAAAAGTGTTCGTTGATATCTGTGGGAATTAGACTGCCGGTTTGAAAGATGAGCTTTTGTTCAAGAGTTTTCCGGCTTTCCATGCTACCTAAGTGTAAGGAAAGACCGCAGATTGCCATATGTTGCTTAGAATGATTAGGTAAAAGATTAAAATGTCTAGTGACTGGTTTCGATGTGTCCTTGTCATGTTGTCATTCCTTGTCATTTTTCGAGACTTTAATTTCCTCGGTCAAAACAACTTCTTTTCACCATGGATATTACGTCTCTTTACACTGTCATTCCTAATGGCGAAGGCCTTCTGGCCCTTAAACATTTTTTTGATCAACGTACTGTTAAGAAACCTAAATCTACTACTACGCTTAGCCGAACTAGTGCTCACACTCAATTGTTTTCACTCATTTGTTTTTCATTGTTTTTCAAACAAACCAATGGTGTAGCCATTAGCACCAAAATGGGACCTAGCTATGCCAATCTTTTTGTAGGTTTTGTCGAACATCAATTTTTCAGCCAATACAACGGCTCCAAACCTGAAATCTACGGTCACTACAACGACGACTGTATCGGCGCTACCTCAGTCGTCTACCAGAGNTCCAACTGCAACTGATATACAAATGATAAATTCTAACACTTAATCATGCTCGTGTTAAACTTTCGTCCGATGATCGTCTGAAAGATCTAAAGTTTTAAAAAAAGGAAGAAATTTTATTTCTTCTTTTCATCCGTAACTTTCTAGTAATATATGGCACGGTGTAAGGCGTTTTTTGCTTTTTAAATTATTAACTGAGTTGGTCTAGGTTTATTTGTTTGTTCACAAGATTTTACAAGCTTAAGATAATCTACGAAAACTTTATTTTTGTGGAAAAATCTGATTAGTTGCAATAATTTAAAGTTTGACATGAGATAACATAGCATACGTTAGCAAAGGACAGCAAATCATTTTCGCCTCTTCAAAAAACAGATCACAGGGTACCCCCTCCACCACCCCCGGGTCAGTTAATTTACTATCCGCAGTCGTCAAAATCATTTAGCCACATCTCTGAAAGCTTAAAATAGATCATAATGTCGAATCAGATAGATTTAGACATAAATTGAATATATCAACAAAGTTGTTATGGTAAATTGGCCACAGTTACGATTATAAAAGCTGACGTTTCGAGCGCTAGCCCTTCGTCTTTGCGAATAGAGGAATTGTGGGTTGTGTGTGCTTTTAAAGGCAGACAGAGGAGCTACCTAATTGGTGGGAAAATGGCAACGAGAAAAACACGAATAAATTAGTGGAATGAAAAGTGTTCGTTGATATCTGTATGATTAATTAGACTGCCGGTTTGAAAGATGAGCTTTTGTTCAAGAGTTTTCCGGCTTTCCATGCTACCTAAGTGTAAGGAAAGACCGCAGATTGCCATGTCCATCCACTATCACATTTCACCCTCACAACCACTCAGTTAAATCCATCATTCTTAAAAACTTTGAATTACTCCAAAACGATCCAGAGACAAGCACTATCTTTTCGCAACCTCCACCCATTTCATTCAAACGCGACAAAATCATAGGCACTTTTTTCGTCAAAAGCTCTTTTCAGACTTCGACCAACCAGGGACTTTTAAATGCGCTCGTGTACGATGCAAAACGTGTCCTTTCATTCAAAACACTGAGAAAATATCGGGACTCAAACGATCCATTAAGAACACCGATCACTTTACGTGCAACTCCGCCAATCTAATCTATTGCATAACTTGCACTTACTGCAAAGATTTACATCGGCGAAATAGGCAGAAGACTAGGTGACCGATTCCGAGAACACCTTCTCGACGTGGAGAGGAATGACAAGGACACATCGAAACCAGTCGCTAGACATTTTAATTTACCTAACCATTCTAAGTAACACATGGCAATCTGCGGTCTTTCCTTACACTTAGGTAGCACGGAAAGCCGTAAAAATCTTGAACAAAAGCTCATCTTTGAAACCGGCAGTCTAACTCCCACAGGTATCAACGTACGCTTTTCATTCCACTGATTTAATCGTGTTTTTCTCGTTGCCATGTTCCCACCAATCAGGAAGCTCCTTTTTCTGCCTTTAAAAGCACACACAACCCACAATTCTTCTATTCGCTCCGACGAAGGGCTAACGCTCGGAACGTCAGCTTTTATAATCGTAACGGTGGCCAATTTACTATTTCAAATTTTTTGATATATTCAAATTCTTTCGCTACCCCAACCGACGCAGCCCCAAACAGTTTCTTTAGAAACTATCTGCCTTTAGATATAGACACACTCTACCATTTTTTTCACAATCGTGGCCAGTGAATCCAGGAGGACATAAACATCGATATCGTTCTCTAGTAAAACCCGACTGGCAGGTTCCCTTGTTACTGCATGGCAATTGCGCACAAAAATTCTTGAACAAAAAGGAGAAAAAATATATACATGTACATATGTTAATATCATCAGAGGGTAGAGTGTGCATTAAAGAAAAGCTTGCATATCTTGGAGGACTAGATGGGTTTGAGAGAGCCAGATGCTCTTCCCAAGGAGCAGCACAAATTGAGACAGTCAAAACTTAACTAAATCTTTTGATTTAACAAACAGTCCAACGCATATTATAACTATATTCTAGCGTAAGTTGAAGAGGAAAGAAATATTTTGATTATCTTTTAGCTGCTCTTGAAGTTTCCAAAGACCCTTTAGTTGTCATAATTTTTGCCATATATTCGGCGGTGCTCTGAAAGACGCTCGGAGTCTAGTGGAAAAGCTTTCCATTCGGCTTGATTTTTGGCAGATGTAGTCGTCAAGGAGAGAGTATGCATCACTGGGATTTTGATGAGAAAAATATTTTTGTAGTTATTTTAGTTAATTAAGGAACAATATAAATAAAAGTGACTTACTTTGAATTTTTTTTTTTTTATGGGGATGAAAAGTTTTCATAATAGTCATTTAAATGCACTTGCAAGTAGCACTTCAATGAATTGACTCTATTCGAAATTTTTGTTTTGTTTTGTTTTTTTAATGCGACCTCACTAGCCTGTGTTAGGGTAAGAAAAAAGCAAATGAATATAAATCTATACAATATGCATTCTGTTTACGCTTTCATCTGACATTCACTTGAACACTAAAAGCCAATGAATTGATAACAAATGATAACCGATGGCTCCGTACCTTAGTTCCATGGTACACATATTTCGCTGCTTCCACTAGATCCTCCTCATACTCTTTAGCCGTAGAGTTATTTAGTTCACAGTTGTGTGTTCCTGGTTCATTTTCTCCATAATTAAAGTTAACACTGACGCAGTTGTGGTTCAGGTAACAGCGATGTTCACATTCGTCTCTGTCAATCACACTGATTTTCGCTATGGTGTGGTTAACAAGACGTTCTCCCACGAAGAACAGAGTCGATGGAAATGCTAATATGCGGCATTCATCTAGAAACAAGTCAATAGAATACCAAAATGCATTACTTGTTATTCTTCCCCTCGGCCAGAGGGGGTATCTCAGATGTCGATAAGAGTACTGTTCAGAGATTAGAACGCGCATATTAATAATTCCGAAGTTTCCGAGGATTCGCTGTTACAACGATGAAAAACTGATCGAGCTTTGAAGTGTGTGAAAGAGGATTTGTATCATGAAATAGCAATCGTTTTTCCGGGCTGGTAAGTTTTTCAGACTTCTCGACCTACATCTGTAAATTTTATGATGACGTCCTCTGTTTATTTAGCGGGAAATTGACAAGCTTTTTAAAGATTTATCTCATCAAACATTCATTAGATATCTCACGAACAGTAGTTAAGTGTAAACATTAAGGCCCAAACCTGAGAGCTGTTGAAAGTTCATAATTGAAGCTTACATTTCTTGCTTTGATAGTGCAAAAATATTTTTTTCCTTTTTGTTTCTTTGATTTTTGTTTTGGTGGTTACCTTGTTATTAAACCAAAAAATCGCTTCCTACCCGAAATTTCAGATAACAGTATCAGAAAAATATGTTAGAAAAAAAGACGTATGGAATAAAAACATTGTAAAAGGCTGTAGAAAACATAATCAAAGTTTACGAATTTTCTATCGTTTCGTCGTGTTTCGGCTATAATTGGATTATGAAATTTGATATCAACTCCAGGTGTGGTTACAGTACCAAGGTAATAGCGAAACATCGTACCTTCTCATAGTTTAGAATGATTTCCTGTCCAACTCCGCTTTTTTGTGGCCAACATTAAGTTTATTTGAATTTGTAGTTAAAATTACAGTTTTGTCCACACTGTAAAACTTTTTGGCGAAATTCATTTCCGTGATCTAAATATCTGACCACAAGGCCCCAATATGTGCAAACTACACAACATATCAAGTCTCTATAAAGAAGGAAAATTACTCGAATAGTAGATTTTATTCTAGAGGACATGCGCTTAATTACATCACCTGTCTACAACGATAGCAAAAGAGGAAGAAAAACACCATGAAACTCTAGCTGAATAGTAGTACAATTGAATTCATTCAAATATGCTAGATTCATTTTTATAAGCTTCCACTAAAAAAGATATATATATATTCCTTGAGTAGTTTAGGGCTACAGTAACATAGGGGGATAATGTGTTTGAAACTTTTTTCATTTTGAAAGCCCTCTAAATCTCAACTGGACTTATTAGGGTAAACTGAGAAGTAATGAGTACGAAACTTTCTTATCTAGAATTTCGAGTATAGACATACAAAGTGAAAAAGGCCGATTTTCCAAATTATTTTAAATGATAAAGCATTTAAGTTTTTCATTAATTAAGCCCGCATGGATTGTATATCGAAGTTCTTGTTAGTAAACTGTTGAAGGTAAATTACATAAAGAAACAGAAATTCACTAACCTAGTTTTTCAGAGCATGAAAGTAAACTTACCGTCCGGACAGGATAGAACCTGTCTAAGGGAAAGAAACAGAGAGACGAAAAACAAGTGGGAAAGAAGGCCCATGTCTTCAAAACTAGGCGAAAAAGGAGTCTTCGTTGTTGAAAGAGAAATGTTTGGCAAAGTGAATAGGTTGAGGAAAAGTTTGTAACTGGAACCGCAATTAGCAACTATTTTTGTTAAGCTTGATTATGTAACCTCCTTCCTTTAAGAAGCTGATAGAATGTTTGCTGCGTGGTGAATAATATAGCTTTGTTTTTCTCTCTCTTTTCCACCTGTTATATTGTATATATTGTCTCCACATTCCCACATATATTATCTCATGAATTATCCGCTCTATTTACTTCGAATAGATAATTTTACTTTTGGAAAAGACATTGTGAAATGTCGGACACAACTACGTGAATCGACAAGAAATAGTTTCTAACTGCCTAACTGTTGCATACACCATCGGTTAGTTTGTATCAATGTTTCCATTTTCTGTCAAACCATAAGGGCTCTTGTAAACAGTCATCGAGCATTTAATTCTCTACCAAATTATAAAGTACATCTCTTGTCGAGGGTCGACGTAAAAATTCACACAGCTAATCAACTTGTAGGCCAAAAATTAATTTTCAAAATTAAGAAATCATCAAGATCGAGCCCGTTCGCTTTTTTTATTCTGGAAAATGTATTAGGTTGCGCCATTGCCGCTAAATCGATAACCCGTTAGGTGAGGTAATTCACCCGAATTAAACATTGCAATATTGTCAGTTCATCCAGTCAAAACCTCTAATGAGACATTTTCCACGCAACCTAGCTTGTAGAATAGAGGAGAGGAAAAACTCAGGCCTCAAGATCAGAACTCAGCGGTTACGTTTCCTCTGCCTGCATTTCCACGTCTTAACCAAAAAATATCATTACGTCACAACAGTGAACACCACATGTACAAAGCATAAACCGCAGGCCGCCAAACATCACATTTCAAATTCACCACAGAAGTACTTACTACTCAGCTTTTTCTCAAAATTGTCGCTCGGTAGGAACGCGTACAAAACAGAAAAACAAAGCATAACAAGACAAAACACGTTCCAAGCGTTATTTTCAGAAAATGAAAGCCCGAATTTAATTTCCGGGAAGGATGCATTCGAATGTATTTCGCATAGCATTTCTCCACCTTTCTTTTTAATTTTCGAAACTAAACCCGTCACCGTTTCCGCCTAACATTTTATCCATGCAAAGCTTGCAAGTATCTCTCCTGTCATTTCTACCTCTTCAGGTATTACAATGATGTTTTTTTTAATTTTTTTTATTATCTTTTTTTACACCTATTAACTGTTTTTAGGCCATGATACAATCCCTATGAACACTTCTTTCCTCCATTCCTAGATTCGATTAAAATAAAAGGTGGGTGTAGTAAAGCCTGTAGTTTATAATTTTAAACTTCTGAACTGAATGGGTCCTCTTGCTGTTGGCTTCGCCCACGCCACTCAAGATAAATTTTAAATTTCTTATATTATCATGTGAAAGTGTAGTGCGATGGTCCAGGTGTTGACGTTGGGTTTAGGGTTTCGACAACCTGTGCGGAAGTCATCATCAGAATTAAGTTAATACGAATATTGTTTTTAAATTTTATTGATTCTCACTTATATTATAGGCTTTTAAAATTTTCCATATTCTGGAGAAAGTTCTGTTATTGATAACTTTCCAATAAGTTTCCATTATCATCTGCAACATTTAGGTAACAGTAATTTTACATTATCGAATAAATTACAACTATTGTAACAGACAATACCTGTAAGTTAGCTCAAGTAACTTTTGCGTCTCTAAAAGAGAAATTGCGTGGAGATATACTGTTTTGTGTAGAGCAATTTCCAGAGCGTTCAACTCAACAAATTTAATTAATACATCGCTTATCGCGTGAGCCGCTAAAAAAAACATCCTCGAGCCTTTCAAGTTCATGGGAGAGGTCACTGAGCTATAAAGCACAGTTGCTGGCCTCAACTGGGCGTCAGCGTGTTCCATCAGCACACTACGCGTGTTCACTCTCTTGTTTCCGACTTTCTGTTTTCGTTGAGAAGTCGCAAGACCCATTTTCGAGAATTTCGGAATTCAAGTTTTAAAGAAATTTTGTTCATATATAAACTGGCGCCAAATATCCAGGTTTAATCACTTGCCCTTAGTTTAATTTATGGAAGTACTTGTATGTGATCCTCAGGCTTAGTGACCAGTTATTATTTATCGCCTGGTAGTAGGGTGACAGGGGTGTGGGAGTCGGAGCGTTTTTGGTGTGTCACGATGAAATTTACCTGATACCTCCGCATGGCCCTGTAATATTCTTAGGAAACCCACCCCCATCCCTTTTATTGGAAGTAAACATTCCATAGTCCCCCCTTTGGACACTGCTGGAACAACTTATGTCCCTTCCATTCGCCCTGAAAACCATTAAATCTTTCCACTCCTCTGGAGATGAATGATTACTGGTCCCTAAATATTAGAGATAATAAAGCAATAACTACAATATAATGAATACAATATGAAAACTTACTGGTCCCTAAATATAGTTAGAGATAATAAAGCAATAAATACGACATAATGAATATGGGTAATAGTGAGTTACAGAACGACATTATTCCCTTTCTATAATATCCTTCTAACACATATCTGCATGCAGCATACCTATTACAGTGCTTAATTTGAAGTTATCTTTACAGATCCGAACCTAAAACTAGACCTACGTCACGCAACTGCAGCGTGACCAAGGGGCTGGTAGATTATCCCTCTAATAAAAAAACTTATGCAATGAATAACATAAGTCACATATCCTATATATGTGAAAAACATTTAACCAACCTCTGCCAATACTAGTTAAGACTTGCTCCTCAATACATTCTCCATTTTATAGGCCAACCTGTGCCATAAAGCTATTTAGAATTTTTCTGTGATGTTTTTTGCGTTTGCAGTTGTTATAGCAACTTGCAACTTCTGATGATTTTCCTTGCCTTGAGGTTCGGAGAAGCACTGGTGTATCAACTGATACGAGTTTTACCGGCCTAATCTCACTTGTCAATCTTTGATTACCCTCAACTTGCACTCTAAATAATAGCTGCGTTCGAAGAACCTTAGTTATTATCCAAGGACGTTTTTCATGGCGGAAATATGAGACATTCATAACCTCAAAGAGTCTACCATACTGCATCGATAAAATTAGCAATGAGGCTAAAGAGGAGTGTAATTATACTTTTTTTTTATAATCGTCATCTGGTCGGAGTGAAATGCGAAGGCGGAGATGCGGATGTTGTGAATTTTTAATTTTTGTTTCTTTTTTTCGCAACTGAAGGTTTGGGTTTACATCAGGTATTGATCGGAGTTTTATTTATTATATACCACCCATCCAAATTACTCCTCCTTTGGTTAAACTAAGCGATAATAGGGCATAATCAAAAGTCACCAAGTGCAAATTAAAGCTGGTACTAGTCTTCCAGACCCCATATTAAGTTTGATCGTTGCATCAAAACTCCGCTACAAAATGTAGAAAGGCGCATTTTGTTTTTTTTTTTTTGTTTTTTTTTTGGTTTTTTCTAGAGAAATGTTATGGTCACCTGACCATGACCTTCTGAGTTGTTACAACATTCATTCTGCTGATTTTTTCCGACATTGAATGATCCACCCCCAACCCCACAGGAATTAACTCTATCATGAGATAGATAAGATATCTATCATGAGATAGATAAGATATCATCTCCATTACTTTCCCCGGAGTACCCTCCCCCTCCCCCTACCCCTCCATCTCCACCACCACCACCTCCACCAAACCCACCCACGATATCTTTGGACTTGGCTCCTCCACCCTGCCCTCCCTGAAGAAATATCTTACCACCCTCTCCATTCCTACCACTTCTTCCTTCGGAGTAAAATCCGCCACCACCACCTGAAAATATTTAAAACAGTTTCAATGTAAGTAAATAAAACAAAAATGTCTCGGTTTAATTAAGGAGTTTAGGTGTTCCTCGGTACTTTGATTTGTTTCGAAGTGAGTAATTTTTTTAAATACTGTACTCAGTGAACTTAAACCTCGATATCATGACTTCGTGATAAGCATTTCCTTTAGGTTCAACAATAGCATAGTTGTCAGGGACATAAGTTTTCTAATATTAACTGAAATAACTAGTCGTCCCCCCAAATAGATTGAAAACCTTGATTACTTTCAAAGCCAACTTATTTTGTAAGTATAAATGGTAAATTAGCCACCGTAKTGATTACAAAAGCTGACGTTTCGAGCGTTAGCCCTTCGTCGTTTCGAGCGTTAGCCCTTCGTCGGATTCGCTCCGACGAAGGGCTAACGCTCGAAACGTCAGCTTTTGTAATCTTTACGGTGGCAAATTTACGATTTCAACTTTGTTGATATATCCAAATTATTACGTTACTCCCACCGACGCAGCCCCAAACAGTGTCTTTCGAAACTATCAGCCTTTATTCATTTGTATTTTGTAAGTAACAACAATCAGCTCGCAAAAATGTCACCTTTTTGCGTTTGTCTTTATTATTTATCTGCTTCCCTTTCTTATTTGTTCGTTTGTCTGTTAGTTTGTTTTTGTTTTGTTTTCCATTCAATGCTAAGAATAAAGTGTAAGGAATAGTCAGAAAATAGTCTCACCTGACATCGTATTATTATCACCCTGTGCACCGTGTCCATTTTCCCCCACTGACCTGGGCTGTCTCCAGGATTTCCTGTTGTGTTTGTGCTAGCTTCACATCCTGCATGTCTTGAATTTGTCATGTCGACCCCACCACCACCTCCAGCTATGATCAAAGGTGTGCTAGCTTCTCTCACTACAAATGTTCCTCCACCACCTCCAGAAGAATAGGACACGTTCTTTATTCCTCCTTCTTGACCGATAGGTATGTGAATGACTTCAAACTTGTTTAAGCTGAATGTTCCAGTCATTTTTGTCCCTCTTCCACGGTACTGAGAATTATTTTGTAATGGATCATACCCGCCCTCTGCTCCTATTGCTTCTATTCTGTATTCACCAGTGTAAGGCACAGTCCACTGTTGAATACCGCTGGACAGTGTAACTTGTCCGTCGTGATCCTGACCTGTGTAGTGGTCCCCCAATGTTGTCGGACCGTATCTTCCTACTGCATTAAGATTGGTAAAAACAACTCTGAAGGATACTGACAGGCAAAAAACAAAGTTAACGTTAAACCCCTTTTCCTAACACAAGTTTTTCCATGAAAATATAACCAAACAAACAACAAAAAAACAAAACAAAATCTAGCAAAATTAAAAACACACGGAGAAACTCTCGCCAGGCTTTTACTTGTAATCTTCTCTTTTTTTTTTTTTATCTTATTGTTAATAAACTCCAGAGGAGAAAGAAAATATATCATCGGGGTAAAGAGATAAGATAACCGATGCTTAAAATTTTTATGAGTGGGCCGACGAAAGTGAAGAATAACTAGCATAGTATGTGTAATCATTTTGGAAGGTTCGTTTCATACTCATACCGCATCGTCAGTTTATTGTATTCTATTCTTTCAGTCGTTTTATATTTTATGTTAATGCTATGTTTACTGAGCGGTTGAAATCAAATTACAAAATTTGAAATTATAGCAACGTTAGAAAACTTTCATAAGACCTCCGCATGCATAGCATTTGAAAGGGTTATCTATGCAGTTATGGTGACCTTGAAAGCAGCGAAAGATGCTTGACGCCTGTACTAGAAAGCGTACGGAAATAGTTTGGAACTCGAGCAATTATTTCTGTTCTTTGTCACGACAAAGAACAATCTACCCTGGTCATTTAACCGAACAAAATATCTCGTGAAAAATTGGTTTGAGATCACGATTGAAAAATTTTCATTCTTGTTGATTCACGACTTCATAGTTTGGAATTTGATTCCCTTCCATCAACCCTTGTCAGATTATAAACTATGTGCACCATGTTCGACTAATTGAAACTCTTAGCATCTCCAAAGGCTCAGACTGAATACAGATTTCGAATGGAAAAATAGATCGTTTAAATACACCTTCGTCTTTTGGAGTTTCACCTCTTTCACAATTTTGGCCCATGAAACAAGAAGGACATAAACATCGATATCGTTTTCTTGTAAAACCCGACTGACATGTCCCGTAGTTCCTGCATGGGGCTTGAGCACAAAAATTCTAGGAAGAAAATAGAAATAAAAAATTACTATTGTAGGCAAAAGTCAGAGTTTTTTAAACGTTCATTACTTCAGTCTTACAATACGAAGGCTCCAGATCTGTATTACTTTTTGGACATTAGAACCTGGAGAACAGTCTGTTCCAGGTGAAGCGTAGCGAAGACTCTCCTGTGCCCACCTTTGCGCTGCTTCTGTGAATTTGAAACTTTGCTTTGTTTCCTTTATACTATTATCGTTTTTTTCTATTATTATCGTTTTTTCTCTTATTATCGTTTTTTCTATTATTACCGTTTTTTCTATTATTATCGTTTTTTCTATTATTACCGTCTTTTCAATTATTATCGTCTATTCCATTATTATCGTTTTTTTCTATTATTATCTTTTTTTCTATTATTATCGTTTTTTCTATTATTATCGTTTTTTCTCTCATCGTTTTTTCTATTATTATCGTTTTTTCTATTATTATCGTCTTTTCTATTATTATCGTCTTTTCCATTATTATCGTTTTTTTCTATTATTATCGTTTTTTCTATTATCGTTTTTTCTATTATTATCGTTTTTTCTATTATTATCGTTTTTTCTATTATTATCGTTTTCTCTATTATTATCGTTTTTTCTATTATTATCGTTATTCTACTATTATCGATTTTTTATATGTGAGTAGCTTTAGTTGTTAATATTTATTAACGAGGGATCCCTTGTAATTGGCTACATTATAATGGTCTTTCTACTCCCAAGATTCATTATGATTCGTGTTGTTGGATGTTAGATGTGAATGTTTGCTATTCA